TTGGCTGAGTTTTCCTACAACAACAGCCATCATTCGAGCATTGGTATGCCACCTTTTGAGTTGTTGTATGGTAGGAGGTGTCGGACTCCCATTTGCTGGGGAGAAGTGGGACAGAGAGTGATGGGCAGTACAGAGATCGTACTTCAGACGACCGAACAGATTCAATAGGTGAGGCAGAGGTTATTGACCGCCCAGAGCCGACAGAAGAGTTATGCGGACAGACGCCGGTCCGAGCTCGAATTCCAGGTTGGCGACTTCGTTCTCCTAAAGGTTTCTCCTTGGAAAGGAGTGATTCGGTTCAAAAAGAGGGGCAAATTGGGGCCCCGGTTCATAGGACCATTTCGGGTAATTGCAAGGGTAGGTCGGGTAGCTTATCGGTTGGAGTTGCCAGCGGAGCTGAGTCAGATTCACAATACCTTTCACGTATCACAGTTGAGGAAGTGTATAGCCGATGAAGCAGCAGTGGTTCCGTTAGAGGATATTCAGGTGGATGCGAGCCTGAATTACACCGAGAGACCAGTAGCTATCAGGGATCGGAAGATCAAGGTTTTGCGGAACAAGGATATACCTTTTGGTGTTGGTTCAGTGGCAACATCGGAAGGGATCGGAGATGACTTGGGAGTCGGAGAGTGAAATGCGAGAGCAACATCCGGACTTATTCACAGAGTGAGACTTCGAGGGCGAAGTCTAGTTCTAGTGGGGGAGAGTTGTAATAGCCCGGAATTTCAGGTATTTCTTTAAATTATTTTTGGGGCATATTTAGGAGGGGACTCGGCGAGTTGGTGCCTGACTCGCCGAGTAGGACCACGATCTTGGTCACAGATTCGCGACTGGACTCGACGAGTCCAGTAGGGACTCGGCGAGTCGACGCTGTTCAGCTGAAACCCTAGCCGTTTTGATTCTGAATCGTATATAATGTCTTTAGGGCCGTCATGTCTCGTCTTTTGGCCGATTGAAGATAACTTAGGAGTCTGTGGGCATCTGGAGCAAGGGTGAGGGCTAGTGGAAGCTTGAAGAGGTTGTTAGACAAGGAGAGGCAAGGTGTGTTATCAAAGGAGATTCAAGGGGGTCGAGCTCTGAAGGTTGGGGACACAGGGAACACGTTTTCCAGGTAATCCTCGGATCATTTCTGTAGTTTTGGCGTTGTATATGAATCTAGGGTTTAGGAAACCCATTTAAGGATTTGATAGATTATAGTGTTGTTACAAGTGTTTAAACCCCTGTAATAGTATATGTGAAGGTCCAGGAAGCCCCATATCTATATATTACGAATCATGCGAACTACAGGAGGCAGTTGATTCTGCATGGCAAGGACTCGCCGAGTCCAATGATCAGACTCGGCGAGTAGCTTGAAGATTCACTAGGACTCGCCGAGTTGTTCTTCAGACTCGGCGAGTAGCTTGAAGACCTACTGGAACTCGTCGAGTCGCTCTTTAGACTCGGCGAGTGGAGTCGGGGTGTCTAGACTCGCCGAGTGCCTTTGCACTCGACGAGTCCGGTCAAGTTACCGTTGACCTGTATGTAATTTAGTAGGGTCAGTTGTCTTGTTTGATAAGATCATTAATAAAGGTATGTGGTATTATAGGGAGCCTGCAGATTAGCGGATCGAGTGCGAGTGGCTCGAAGGCTTTATAGCTTGCATACTACGAGGTGAGTCTTCTCACTATACTTCACCCGGAAGGGTTTGACTGCGTGACCGGAAGGTCGTATGTGTTATATTTATGCTATGTCTAGAGAGGTAGATGCTTTATATGTGATGTATGCTTATACGGGCCGGAAGGCGAGACTTTATGTGATAGAAAGAACGGTATGATGTATGACTTATGTGTTATGTGTGATATGTTATATGTGTTATGTTTTATACTATTATGGGCCGGAAGGCAAAATACTATGGGCCGGAAGGCGATATGTTATGGGCCGGAAGGCGATTGTGTTATGGGCCGGAAGGCAATGTTATGTGGACCGAAAGGTCCGGGCCGGAAGGCGTATGTGGGTAAGTCGTATACTGGGGAACTCACTAAGCATTTATGCTTACTAGTTGTGTTTATGTTTTTCAGGTACTAGTGATGACCGTGGGAAGGCGCCGGCGTGACACGTACACACTGCCATTGTTGAAGATCTTGAGGATTCGTTATTTATATTTTTGCAATAAACTTGGAATAAACTCTTTTGTCGAATAATGATGTTTTATTTTAAATGAGAAATTTATTTGAAAATTTGAGCTGTTACAGTTTCCGCGCACACATCAATGTTGAATACTGTGGATGGAACATGATGATAAAATACCTATTCAAATACATGTCGAAAGGAGCAGACCGTGTTAGATACGCAATCGAAAAATCATAACTACCCGATGAATCCACCTCCGTTACAACCTGTGGTGATCAGGACGCGCCGCAAAATCATGAAGTTCTATCTGTGGACGAGGTCAAGAATTTCCTAGATGGTCGTTACATATGTCCACACGAAGCATCATGGTGCATTCTAAACTTTCACATACACCATCAGCATCCACCTGTTCAGGTTCTCTCCGTACACGAAGAAAACATGCAACAACTACTGTTCAAGGAAGACTCGACAATACCTGAAGTGCTATCAAACACATACAACACCATCACAACTCTTCTAGGATGGTTTCGCAGCAATACAAGAGACCCAGCAGGCCGTCACCTTACTTACCTAGAATACCCAAAAGCTTATAAATGGGAAAAGTCTTTCAAGTCGTGGATCCCTCGAGTTGATCAGTCATCAAAGATGATAAGGCAACTTGTCTTTGTCCATCCTACGTCGGGCGAATTATTTTATCTACGTATGTTGCTCTGTCACCAAAATGTTTGCATGTCTTTCGAAGACTTACGGACTGTCTCCGGTACCATTTACCCAACCTTCAGAGTCGCTTGCAACGTACTAAACCTAATCGACAACGACACCGAATGGCTCACCGCTTTCACTGAAGCATCTGTCTGGGCCACTTCGCCACAACTTCTCTCTCTTTTCTACCAACTTTTGCTTTTCTGTGAAGTTAGCAACCCGCAAGCCTTCTGGGAATTCACGTGTGAAAAAATGAAGGACGACTACTTACACACAATGAAAAGGGAAATTCCAGATGAGGATGTCGCCTCTTTTACGGATTTGATCCAGCAGCAACTACTAAACGATCTAGATCACACCCTCCGTTCTTCTGTCCCATCTAAATCAATGGCTGCTTTTGGTCTCCCAGTGCCTTTAAATAAAATCCATGGTGTTTTAGAAAATCGACTTCTCCTTGAAGAGATGAGCTATGACAGAGAAGCCCTAAAAAGACAGCATCAGAACCTCCTGCCAAAACTAAATATTGATCAACTTTCAGTTTATAACGTTGTGACAAACTCGATTGAAAATAGAAAGCAAATACTGATGTTCGTGTATGGACACGGAGGTACTGGAAAGACGTTCCTATGGACTACAATTATCTCCTATCTGAGGTCTAAAGGAAAAATTGTATTGGCGGTTGCAGCTTTCGGGATCGCATCTCTTTTGCTTCCTTCTGGAACAACGACACATTCAAGGTTCAAAATACCAATCGACCTAACAGAAAAAAAAAATCCTGTGATATAAAGAAAAGGACATTTCTTGCTGAACTTTTACAGCGCACATCACTCATTGTTTGGGATGAAGCACCTATGAGTGACATAAGATGTTTTGAATTTCTGGACCATTCACTTAGAGATGTATTAGATTGTGATGACCAGCTGTTTGGCGGCATATCCGTTCTTCTTGGTGGTGACTTCTGGGAAACACTTACCGTCCTACCGAAATCTACACGATCAGAGATCATTATTTTAACTCTACCGAGTTCATACCTATGGCGGTTCTTCAGAATCTGCTTACTACATAGGAACATGAGAGTTTACTCATCTGAAATGACCTCTAATGGTTCGATGTCTGCATCGGATTTTGCAATATGGTTGTTGCGCATCGGAGACGGAGTCATTGGTGTACCAGACAAGGACGACCGACAAGACTCAAGCTTTATCCAAATTCCAAATTCTCTCCTGATAAAACCGGGATCTGAGTCTTTGAAAACCTTAATACACTTTGTTTATGGAGACAATGCACTTACGAACCCAACCGCGGCTGACCTTTCGGTGAGAGCAATTGTGTCACCTATGAATGATATAGCTGATGACATAAATGAATAGATCCTAAGGATGGTTACATCGGACGGTAGAACATAAAAAAGTTTGGATACAATCCAACCAAATGGAAAATATACGTCGGATTTCGAAGGCCTATATCCGATTCACTACCTAAACCATCTAACCTTTCCAGGAATACCCCCACATGAGCTGAAACTTAGAATACATTGTCCAATGATGATGTTACGAAACATCAACCAAAAAGAAGGCTTATGTAATGGCACATGTATGATAGTTTCCCAATTGCTACCAAACGTAACTTAAGCAACTATCATGACTGGAACTTGCATTGGAAAATGTGTATACATACCATGTATAAAGTTTATACATAAGTCATCAGACATACCGTTCACTTTCTCACGAAAACAGTTCCCATTGAAAGTCTGCTATGCAATGACCATCAATAAAAGCCAAGGGCAATCTTTGCGTAGAATTGGAGTGTATTTACCACAGCCCGTCTTTTCACACGGTCAACTTTACGTCGCCCTTTCCCGAGCAACGTCACCAGATTCGATAAAAATACCTATACAAACTACTAGCCCGACACAGAAGAATCAAACAAAAAACATCATTTTTAAAGATCTATTATAGAAACTTACTACAACCAAGGTCTATCGTATCACTGCCAACCATCTTTACCATATTGTCAAACCGTTCCTCAACCATTATCCAAATTTTCGTTCTCTTACTTATTATTATTTTTTTTCCATCTGTCAAATGTCACACATTTGAAACATCTTTTTTACATACTGCACCATATTCACATCCGAACATAGCACTAATTCCCATATATTTGTTGCAAGTAGACAGTTGACACCACCGATGACCAACATCTCCGACCTGATAGGCGGGATCAGGGGTCCCTTACAGGTTAGGATACTACGGAAGTGGAAACATGATGTCCGACACTATGAAACCTGGTACCTAGGTGTCAACAAATTTGTAAGTTGTTTCCAAATAAATCTATTGAATCTTTCAATGAACTTTTATAGACTAACGATTCTACAATTCGATACCAAACGATCACTCTTTAATTTCTAGAAAATACAACTTCATTCTCCTATCCTTAACCCAAAATAATATCATTACATTTTTTCCCGACTAACAAAAATCTTATATTAGATTCATCTTTTATTTTTGTAGGGCGATGCCATACAGATTCTTGGCCAACGAACCAACCAGAGTTATATTGAATCTGTACTAAACGTCCTGGAATGTTACACAATATCAGATTACAGTTGCCCGAAGCTAGACAAATATCAAAAATTCCTTGAAAACGACTTCTACATTGACATTGGACTGATGTATGTAATTCAACACATTCCAGACACAATAGCTATACCCAAAACTTGGTTCCGTTTCCTCACCAAAACAAATCTTATTGAACTCGAAGAAACACCACCTTACTACCCAGGTACTTCTCTCAACCCTCCACGTTATACAATACCTTTCCCTCATACACTTATTTTTTACTTCTTTTCAGACTACATCGGTGTCTTATCGAAAATCAGAGACTGCACGAAAGTAGGTGGAGAATCATACGTCCTGCTCATACTAACAGACGAAAGGTATATATCCCAACTAACAAAATTTAATAACCAATTCTCTTATATGGAACTAATACAAAACAACAATTTCAATGTATCAGTGCAGCGAAATCGCAATCAATCTATGGAAGGACTGTATAGGAAATCCACAAAACTTCAACCGTGCCTCCCTACATCCACCACCCGCAACAACAGTGGTTGCAGTCACCAACTTAAAATCATCCATCTCAAACGGTATTATACCATATATACCATCACACACATACTGTCAACAACTATCAGATTGTCCCTGGTCATATATCTAATGTTCAAATGATTTATGTATAGGAGCACTGCATCACGGCTCATCACATGCTACGCATATCTATGTCAACCCCGACATACCAGAAACAACATCTCTTATAAACCTTTAACCCACAGATATTATACACACAAAATACATACACCACATCAGTTTTACAGGACCCTCATGACTGCTACCACCACTACTAGGAACACCCACTAGTCTATACGAGATGAAGACAAAAAAACAGATCAGAACTCCTGGTAATATCAAACTACTACTAGTCCATTTACAGATACCAATCATCTCACCCGTTTCCATCAAAATACAAGACAAAACCTTCCTTGTGCGTGCATCCATTAAAGAGTTTGTCTTCCAAAACAGCTGGTACCAAACGACCTGCCCAAATTGCAAGGATCCCATCTTTAGAAGAGGTAAAAATTGGTTCTGCAACGCTCATGGACATATCAAAAAACCAAACTACACGTAATCTTCGTTCAATTAACATAATATACTTAATCACTCTAAATACGCGATACCAATGAATATGTCATGTTAATAGGTACAAATTCTCCGTAATCGTTAGCAATGCGACCTACACCATCTCCGCAACCATGTCAGAGACATCATGTAGAAAACTTCTAAAATCAACCCTTGACTACTTCCTATCCAATAACCCGCTAACAGGTGGACGTATTCTTCCTCCAGCCATTACAAATCACAAGGAAGAACCGAAAAAATGTCCATCCAAATGCTTAGAGGATTGTCTCCAGATAACCTACGTTTTATAATAATAGACCACGAAACGTTAACAACCACGACCGACATGTCTATCCCGACAACACCGGTGCCAACCCGAATAACAAGAAAGCGACAAAACAACACATCACCGGAGCCATCTACAGCTGTTCAAAACGTCGCACGGTCCTTATCCTATGACCCTTCGGGTACATACACATTCACATACAAAAAAATTTACATACATATGTTAAAACACCCTACTGACACTTAATGAACACACCACAGGTTCCACACCAGAAAATATTCCAACGCAGTCCAACGAATAACAACCAGGATGCATAATCAACATAATCACCTTCTTCCAGCTCTACTAATGTCTCTATCTTTTGTGTTACGACAATAACATCATCATCCCTAGCTTCTGAAAACTAACACCCTCTTCCCTTCTATATGAATGATGTTATTGCAATTCACTTTCCGTCTCATACATACTCTTCCACTCCCTCTCCCTCTCTCTCTCTCTCTCTATATATATATATATATATATATATATATATATATATATATATATATATATATATATATATCCGAATTTTCGGTTGTTCTCATTCTCTTAATTCACACTTTCAGATTTTGATACTTTTTTTAACACCGGTTATTTAACCCATTCACTTTCACAATTATGAGACACATACATTATAAACAGCTTCAAACATATACCTTTACATGTCCAAATTAATAATAGTTAGTAAAAAACACACACACATCAAATAATAAATATATAAAAGAATTGTCTGACAAAACAATCCAAATAACCACTTTATCATTATATACGTTATACCTTATCTACACCCACTGTCTAAACAATCAACGTTCAAAATATAAACAAAATGAAGAAAGTCAGAAAAATCAAGGCTTCATTTATATAAAAAATAAAAAAGTAACCATTCACATTACAACTCATACATACATTTACAACCAACATTAAATGGAATATCTAACCCTATACCCTAAAGCTACCAAAAAAAGCAAAAACCAACTGAACCTTCATTACGTCTCCGCAGCCATCCCATTTGCATTACTTCCCAGATGATAATTAAATACCCATACTTACTGCAGTTCAACTACCACTTTTTGACCCTATAAAATCAATCCAACATCAGTCGCGATTAAACCATAAAGCATACAACCACCATGGAAACCATCATGTAGAAACTCATCGGCTACCTCCAGATGATGAAGACCTCCTTAGCCAATCTCCAACAAACATACACAATAGTCAACACATACATGCAGACACTCCTACATGATGCTCCAGAAGAACTGCCATACAAGGAGCTCACAGTCGCCACCCACGTGATCGCTGACCTTGACAACATAACCGTACTAATGCTTGATATGTTCGGGATGATGCAGGAAAACATGTCGGAAGCAATCGATGTGTGCAACAAAATCCTGCACGACCATCAGACACCGTGACATACCAACACCACTCTCTTCTGCAGCATCAACCTCTTTTGCATCAGCTTCTATGAAGTAAAATCATGTAATAACGTTGTAATGAAGAAATCTTTTGCATCTGTTTATGTAATCTAAAATGATGTAATGACTATGTAATAAAAAAATCCTTTCGTCCGCATTTTGTAACACGTCCCATACATCAAGTATAAACATAAAAACAGTCCATACATCCAGCGTAAACACGATCACAAAAAAAATTATGTCGTTAATCCAGAAAAATGAAACGTCACAACATTCGCTATAACCCCCGCGTAGCGGGGTCACTTTCTAGTTACAATTAAATTTTTGTACAACATTTTTTACATTAAACTATCTTTTAGGTGGGATGGGTATTGTAATTTTTTCTACGTCTAAGGGTATAATGACAGACGGAGAGGCTCGACTTCAAAGAATAGGCGGAAAATTTTGTGTTATATATATATATATATATATATATATATATATATATATATATATATATATATATATATATATACACACACACACACACACACTAGATTATAACTCGTACAAACCACGGTTTCAAATTTTTTATCATATAGACAAAAACAAGACTAAATGTCAAAATAATAAATAAATAAATAAACAACGTATTTTAGACTGTTAGTAAAGTCGGACTAATTTGATAAGTAAAAAGGAAAATCTTTTAAATTACATTTTGAAACATTTCGTTCTATACATCATTTGACGTTTTATTGGTTAAATTATATATATTTTTTAATCTAAAATCAATAACTTCAATTTATATGTTCATTTTTCTAGATAAAACAACATATAACAAGAGCCAATGAAAATTGTCTCATTTTGGATTTGAAAGGAATTTTGAAGTCCGAAGGTCATAAAGACAATTTTGAAATAAAAGTTCAATGTTCGATATTATTTTCAGTTATGATTTTCTCAAATTCTCATACTTTTAGTGTCAATTTAATCCATATTGTTTATAGAATCTGCATAAGAGTGTTGCAAAAGACTATTAGTTAGTTAAACAAAAAGAAGGTAAGAATAAATCGTATTATTTTGAGATCTTTGTTTTTAAAGAAGTGTTTAATTGAACTAAATAGTATATAAATTGTAATATATTGTAATGAAAGGTTTAATGAAATAAAATAATGATCCTTAAACAAAAAAAATACATTTTATATTATCTGATTCATATGAATATTATAATTTATAAATATTATGTGATAAACTAATTGTAATTATTTATTTTTACTATGGACTTTGTATACATTTAAAATTAAATATAATGATAAAAAAAAGTTCTTGTTGTTTTTGTAGCACGTAAGTACATAATTATGTGTACAAATATAATATTTATGAAGAATGTATGACCTAAGTAATGTAATAAGTTATTAATTAAATTTAATAGCAATTGCTAATGATTTTTGTGTTTTTACTTGCAATATAAAATACATTTTTTATATTTGATATTTTTTCCTATATTATAACTTAAAAAAATACTAACCATAATGTTCATAACTTGTAAAAGAAAAATATATCAAATGTCTTATTAAAGTATATCATCTTCATATATTTGTTAAATAAGTATGTAAGTTATCTATGTAGAATATAGGTGAGAGGGGAGTTTAAATGATTATATAATATATATATATATATATATATATATATATATATATATATATATATATATATATAATATATATATATATATATATATATATATATATATATATGTATAATAATATATATATATATATATTATTATACATATATATATATATAATATATATATATATATATATATATAATATATATATATATATATATATATATATATATATATATATATATATATATATATATATATTGCAAACATGAAAAATATATAACCTTTTTATAAGGTATATAAAAGGAATATGTACTATATAAAAATGTATAGGTAAATATATAATTCATATTAATATTACAATTTATGAAATGTATGTAATAAAGTTATTATTATTGTATATTATTACTAAGCACTTTGTATGTATAAAACTTTTTAAAAATTAAACGTTAATGATGAAACATTAATTTTTTAAACTAAAATTTAACAATAAAAATTTATTGTGTTTAAAAAAAATGTAAACGTATTTCTGATTGAAAGTAAAATAATATAATTTTTCATAATTATTTAAAGATAGAAAAGTAATTTGACTCATGCTAGTACACTAAGAAAGTATAGAGACTAAATTCAAACTTTAAATAAGAAGTATGAAATGAAATTACATGATTTATACGAATTTTTAAATCAAAGATTGTTTAACAATTAAAAAAAAAAAAAACAACGGAAAATTGAAAATTCCTTATAAGTACTTCTTTGTTTTTCGAATATTTAGGCTATTAGGATAGGATTTTTTTTAAATGAAAGATTTTTACAATTACAAAAAAAAATGGAAATTTAAATTTCAAATTTTGAATTTTGTTATAAATACTTTTCGGTTTTCAAAAATAAACAATTACCAAAAAATAATAAATGAAAATTAAGAATTTCTTAAAATTTGTCAGTGTTAATTAGCCTATTTAGAAAGGAACATGTGGCATTTAAATGTTTTGTTTATTAGAAGAGGTATATATATATATATATATATATATATATATATATATATATATATATATATATATATATATATATATATATATATATATATATATATATATATATATATATATATACTAATAAAAAAGTAGTTCTTTTACCATATTTTATTATATTAGACCTCTTAATTAATATGTTGCTACTGTCAATATATTAATTCTTCATTTTAAATTTTTAGACATTCTCATTAATGTAATGCTATTTGTCAATATATTTATTCTCTATTTTAAAATTTAGATTTTATATTAATGCTTTCAATAGTTCACAAATAAAAAATGTCTAGTATATATTAATAATTAATTTTATATATTTATTTGAATCAACAATTATAATTTCGCATAACTAAAAAAATATCTCTTAAATTAATAATTTATTTAAAATAATTGATTAATAATTTTGAATATTTACTATAAAAGTTTAATTAATTTTATAACCGTGGTTCCCATGGGAAATAAACTAATATATATATATATATATATATATATATATATATATATATATATATATATATATATATTTCCGAATTCAATACGAAATTTCTTATTTGTGAAAAAGAAAAAAGAATGGTGTTTTACCTATAATGAAAGAACAAAAATGAATTTATGAATAGGGACGGTTTCACTATGGTTCTCATAGTTGCACCCACAACCCTTGTTTTTTGTTTTTTTTAGATACAGTATAAATTTTTGAATCTTTTGTTTTTTCTATATTTTGTGCCACTATGTAAAAGGAAAAACGTGCTACCGACAACACCTACATGCCACCGGCAACACCTACAGGACAATCATGGGTCCGTCCCTATTCATGAGTGTTTAATTACTGAATTGCTTCCCAATGCATGTTTCGGGTTCGTTTAGATAATGTAGATACGATTCTAAGTTATCTGGATTATGTTTTAAAGCTTTTCTCCAAAGAATAAACAAATAAAACTTACGAACAAAGCCCATTATGAAATCCATATATATGTCTTTTGTTGAAATTCAAGGTGTTACATTTATCTTTTTTCTTTTCTTTTTTCTAAGACGACAAGCAATATGTTAGGAAAAAGTGCGAGAGCATGAGATATAACAATGATCTTATATAAAAGGCCACCAAAAAATTAAATAAATGGACCTTGAGAATGGCTTTGTAAAAGGCATAAAGATTCTTCAGAACAACCAAAACCCGCTACAAATTCTACATTTGGTCAAGAAGCACCTTTATAACATGTTCAAATTGACTTCTACAAGAGCTCCTAACTAGCAACGAACTTCATGTTTGTGGAAATAATCCCCTTAGGATTGCATTGTATTCTCATCTCTATACAAAGTACAATATGTAAAATACACAAAGGATACCTATACTATACATGTGTATGTAACCTACACTAGAATAAACAAACAAATAAATACATTAACACTCTCCCTCACGTCAGGTCCCCGAATGTTTAACTGTCACCAAAATCCAAAAAATAGTATTAGTAGGTAGTCCTTTGGTGACGATATCTACAAACTGATGAGCCGATGGAATATGCAACATTCAAACTTGACCAATGGTAACGTGTTTCTTAACAAAATGTAAGTCTATTTCCGCATGTTTAATTCTTTGGTGTTCTGGATTAAAAGCTAAATACATAACACTCAAATTATCATAAAAACACAACCGTCGATTGAGTTTGAGGGCACGAAAGTTCAAGTAGATATTTTGATGCTAAGCAGTTTCGGCAACTACACTAGCTACCCCTCGATACTTAGGTCATTAACGAAAAAGAAAGCATCTTTGAAATCCATGATTGAACCTTTTTTTTTCATAGATAAAACCACCATAAATGGATTAAACGAGTGGTATAAATTGACAAGCTTGTGTTCTATTTTGATATGAACTTAACTAAAGAAAACCAAAGATCAATAAGCATTCGATTAAGCACTTGGTTGGCAGCAGGTGAAAGTACACATCCACTGATTGAAAACAAAAGCGACATCTATTTTTTTACGCAAGAAAATCCATGACCACGTTCTCTTCTCTCCCTCTATCTTCAGACACTTCTCTCTTGGTGAATCGGAATCCATGACAAAGTTAAAAAATTCTTGAGAATCCCAACAACTTCTACTGTATAAATATGCAAAACCAATGGAAAAATCAACAAAAATTCACTCGTAATTGTTGCTTAATGGTTTCATCAACGACCTAGAACTTGTATCCAAATTTGATGCATCAGTTGACTGCAAACACCCACAAAGATACTGATTATTCTATTCTACTATTAGACCAATGCGAAAATCCCTCCATGCTTTAAACCCTCTGATCAAAGTTTAATCTAAGAGCTTAACTCATGAAAATTTCTTCGATTTCTATAAAAGAGTCGTAACATCAAATCATAAACCTGATAATTACACTTTACGTTCTTGATCAAGTCTGTTGTGTAGTTATAGAATAAGGATTTGGGTTTGACTGTACCTGTGACTGAATTGAAATAGGTGTCGATGGAAACCCACATGTTTAAAAAGAGTTAATTATTATGTACGCTGGAATGGGTTTTCTTGGGGAGTTAAAGACTTGTTTTTTGACATCCACTGCCCAGAATTGGTAACTCGTACAACAATGGTGATTCCTTAAGATTATGAAATATAGAATTCGCACGCCATATGTTTGATAAAATGCCCGACCGAGATGTCATTGCCTAGAACACGATGATAGCAGGGTATATGATTCGGGGAGACTTAAAAAGAGATAGAATTGTTCAATATGATGGAAATGAAATCAATTATATTTGTCAAGATTAAATTTGGAGTTTTATCTAATAATGTATATATATATTTTCTATTTGTTCAATATGAATAGTTTGGAAGTCATATTCACTTCGGGTAATAAATTGATGTGGCCTAGTAACTAAGTTGTTAGCTTATACAAAGGATTAATTTATCAATAATTAAAGCCAAAATTATCAAATATAATTTATGATAAAAACCCAACGACCATATTTAAACATTTGCAAATAATAAACATTGGTAAGACGTTTTAAACGATTTCTTATATTTTACTATTTGATTAAACATAAGAATATTTCAGCAAATTAAAATAGAAGAAAGATACTTAATTATTTTCTTGTGATATAAAAAGAAACTTCCATTTGGAAAAGTAATGCATATATATGATGCATCATGTTAACTTTGTATATGAGAAAAGAATGTTATAGAAAACATTTTTTAAATCAATACTTGAATGCAAAGCAATCTAAACAAATATAAGTTGATGTCTTGAGATGTGCACATGTTAATGCCTCTCCAACCCTCATTGTATATATTTTATTTTAATGTTAAGGGTTACATGTCTTCCATTTTCCATAGAATTTAAACTTGTATGTATATCAAAAAAGAGAGAGAAGATATGGAAGAGATTAATCATTTTAGTCATAAAAGCCATCCATTAAAGCTGGTCAACGTAGAGATGATTCTAGGTGCTAGTATCCACAGCCATGGTGCGGATGAGAAACCAGGTGTAATTGGTTGCTATGCATGTCAAAACCCAATATCAAGTGGCTTTGTATATGGATGCATCCAATGTCATCATTTTATGCATACAAAATGCTCACAAGTTGCGCCCATTCTCGATCTTCCTTCCATATACGAGCATCCTCTAACAGTATTCGATTTCGGATATGAAAAATCCAATCATTGGTCGTGTTATGTTTGTCGTAATCAACATAAAATTAAGGGGTTTTGTTATTTCTATAGCAAACCTGAGTACAACATTTTATTTAATGCTTGCATCAATTGTTGTCTTGTTGAGATTTCTCGCAAGGCAGAAGCTAATGCTATCAAGGAGGAGGGAAGGATCAAGATTGAACACGAATGTCATCCACAACACACTTTAACCCTCCAATTAAGACCTGGTTCATTTCGGTGTGACTTTTGGATCCACGAGACTTGTGCTTTCTTAGACACTTCCATTAATCTACCCCATCATCATAATCACCCACTCTTTCTCGTCTATTCGCTTCCAGAAAAGTTCTTTAAATTCGCGTATTATTGTGAAATTTGCAGCATATACATCCGACGGAATGACTGGTTGTACCATTGTGCAAACTGTAGATATTTTGTCCATATTAAGTGTGCCTTAAATGCAAAGTTCTCTTCTACCACTACAAGGTAAGAGATTTTTTTTTTACATTTTATTGTTTTTTTGTGAATGCTTATTTTTTTTTCTAATCAAGAACATGTGGTCTCAGAGAGGGTCCGAGTACTTCTACAATTGATGAGGATGAAAATGGTTTGCTACATTTTCCCATGTCAAACGAATTTACAGATCCATTGAAGCTACTACATATTAAGAAGTTAACTCAAGAAAATGATGAAACAACTAATAGTGTCCATTGGAGTCATGAACATCCATTAGTCCATCATGTTCAACCTCAACATCAAGCTAACAACATGCCTAGTTGTAGTGATCCAATAGAGGTATGTTTCGGTTGTGTACGGCCCCTATCCCTTCCATACTATACTTGTAAAGATGGATGTTCGTTCTCTCTCCACAAATATTGCGCCAAGTTACCACTCAAATTACAACATCCACTTCACCCAAATCATTCTCTTGACTTGATAAACATATGGGTTCAAAATATTTACCATAGATGCAATGGTTGTGGTAGCTTTGGCAACACGTTTTTATATAGATGTGAAACTTGCAAGTTTAACCTCGATGTCAACTGTGCATTTCTACCCAACACCATCAAACATAAATCCCACAAGCATCCACTTATGCAAGTTATAGATCTTGAACCTCTTTGTAACGCATGCAACATGTGGTCTAATAATATGAGTTATGCTTGTAGGGATTGCAAATTCATATTAGACATGTATTGTGCAATGAGATCGCCATATTCCCTTGGTCATAGGTATTGCAAAGGACATGAAATCCCATTGACATATCCCCCAGTCATGGATCATCCTGAAGATTTATTTTGTGATATTTGTGAGAATGAAATGCATCCCAAGTTCCCCCTCTATTATTGTGGTAATTGCAAAAATTCTTATCACTGTTTCTGCATTAATCGATTTAAGCGTTTTGCAAACGTTTTCCATGAGGGCACATTAAATGTTCTATATCATAAACATCCATTAACGTATATCCGAAGAAAGAAGACGCCCAAGTATGTGTGTTCTAATTGTAATCAAGATATTAATGGTTGTTTGATCCTCGAATGTCGGAGAAGAGTCTGTAGCTTCAATATATGCTTTAATTGTGCTTATGATAAGCAAATGGGTCCTTAATCATGTCATATGATTAGGAACTAAGGAAGGGCCATATATGTGATTGTTTCAATAAATTATATATATATATATATATATATATATATATATATATATATATATATATATATAGGCTTTCTCTTCTTCTTGTCTTATATAACTTCTTCAAGTGTGTGTTAGTGTGTTATGGAACCATTCCAAATTAGATAAAAATTTGCAATAGTACATCGAATCTGGATTCACTACATATAACATGTTTTCAAATTAGATCCATTACATTCTTCTATTAATTGAACCAAAAGAAAATCAAAGAAGAATAACACACAAACATTATATCTGGTAGGCAGCAGACGAAAGCACACCTCCACTCACGCAGAAGAAAGGCACACACCGGTTCATGGAGAGAACAAAGCCACATTTGTCAATTGCACATTAATCTAAAGATCATCAATTTAATTTTATCTTATTTTTATTTTGTAATTTCTTGGTTTACTTTTTTTTACAACAACTTTATATTTTACTATTAAACTAGTTGTGAGACCCATGTATTACATGGGTTAATTTTAAAAAAAAAAGTTAAGTATATAAAGGTCAAAATAATTAAAAACTTTGAATTTATAAGAAAAAAAGAAAAATAATAAATTATTATAATGCAAATGTTTTTTATCTTTAAAATTTAAATAATAAAAAGAAACTAATAAACTTTAATTTTAGGAATTTTGAAACTAAAATGTGTGTTTATTAATGAAATTGATATCCATTTATTGCTAAATTTATTGCAATTTTTATATTAAATATTATGTGGAATTTAATAAAATATAGAAACTCATAAAATGACATGTGGAAAAATAAATTAATCCAAAAATAACCATAAAATGACATTTGGCAAATTAAATGAGAGTGTGACAAGTGAAAAAAAAAAAAAAAAAAAAAAAAAAAAAACCTTTCATTTATTAGAGAGGATTTGATCATTAGGTGTGATATAAACCAAAACCAAACTCAAGTTAAATACTAAAAACAATTTATTCTAGTTCGCCTATGAATATAAAATGAGTGATCGTGTAAACCATGTACTTCTTGTGTTTTCTTAGTATTTATTTGTATACTTTAATTGTGTGTTTGGCGGTCGATGCAAAATTAGTGGTCATTTTGCTCAAATAAAAAGATTAATAATGATCATTTTTTAAATTGTTTTCCACAAAAACGGTTATCTTTATGATTTCGCTCCATTAGACCTCCCAATTATTAAGTAATTTCTTTTCTAAAACACTAATATCTTACACATATTTCCTATTCTTTTGAACCCCTGAATCATGCTATTTATTATTGACGTATCACAATCCTGAAGATTTCTATTGTGATATTTGTGAGACGGAAATGCACCCCAAGTTCCCCTTTATTATTGTCAAAAATGCAGAAATTCTTCACCTTCAATGCATTAGTCGATCTAAGCTTTATGCAAACATTTTCCATGAGTGCATCTTGAATGTTCCATATCATAAACATCCGTTAACATATGTCAAAAGAAAGAAGACACCCACGTATGTGTGTTCTAATTGTAATCAAGATATTAATGATTGTTTGATCCTAGAATGTCGGGTAGAGTTTGTGTAGTTTTGGTATATGCTTTGAATTCGATTAATAGAAGGTAATGAATCGTTAATCATGTAATATGTTTATGAACTAAGGAAGGGTTATGTCATTGTCTCCAAAGATTATAAATTATATATATGTTGGCTTTCTCTTTTTCATGTCTTATCTTCAAGCACTATGCTCATAGCAAACTTGAACTATTGCAATTCACATAGCAATTGGTAAAAGTACATCTAATATGGATGGTCAGAAACCCAATTTTTTTTGTGAAATATTAAAAAGTAATTCCAATTGGTAAAAAAGATATATGGTAATTTTGAATGTGGATGCATCATGATAACTTCATATATAAGAAAATAATATGTTAACTTCATATATGAGAAAAGAATATTCTAAATGGCATTTTAGAAACACTACTTGAAAGCAAAGCAATCTAAAAAAATTAATTTGATTTCTCCGGTTGTGGAAATTGTATCACCTCGGCCTCATTTTCTATAAATTCAAGGATTAAATAAATGTCATTTACCATTGAAGTTCACTTACTTCTATGGATATCACAAAAGAGAGAGAAGATATGGAAGAGATTAATCATTTTAGTCATAAAAACCATCCATTAAATCTCCTTAACTATGACATGATTGTAGTTGGTAGTTTCCACGGCAGTGGTGGTGATGATGAGAAACCAGGAGTCATTGTTTGTTATGAATGTATAAAACCCATATTAAGTGGCTTTGCATATGGTTGCATCCAATGTGGTCATGACTTGCATAAAGCATGCGCACAACTTCCACTCACTATCAATCACCCTTCCTTATATGAGCTTCCTCTAACACTCTCCTATTTCAGAACCAAAGAAGCATGATCTTCGATTTTTTATGTTTGTTGTAAACTAAGAAAACCTAAGGGTCCTGCTTATAACTTTATGAACTCTGAATATAACATTCACTTTAATGCTTGTATCGATTGTTATCTAATGGAGATTGCTCACAAAGCACTATCTGTGGCAATTATGGAGGAAGCACAGATGAAAGTTAAACATGAAAAATCCAACCACAACACACTTTAGCCCTTAAATTAAGACCTAATGTGGTGTTGTGTGATGCATGCAAGGCTATGTATGAAGGCTTATTCTATGAGTGTAATGGTTGTGATTTCTGGATCCACGAGACCTGTGCTTCCTTAGCCCCTACCATCCATCTACTCCATCACCCTAATCACGAGTTGGTTCTAGTCTATTCATTTCCTAAAAAATTCTTTAAATTTGCATATTATTGCGAATTTTACAGCATATACATCTGACGGAATGACTGGTTGTATCATTGTGCAAACTGTAGATATTTTACCCATATCAAGTGTGCCTTAAATGCAGAACAACCTTATATTCCAAGGTAAAACTTCTTTTATTTTTCTTTGTGTTTGTGTATTTTTCTTTTAAACAAGAATATGTCCTTTCAGATATGGTTCGAGTACTTCTTTGGTTGATGAGGATGAAAACGGTTTGGTGTATTTTCCCATGTCAAAAGAATTTATAGATCCATTGAAGCTACTACATATTGAAAAGTTAACTCAAGAAAATAATGAAACAACTAATATTGTCCATTGGATTCATGAACATTCATTAATCCTTCATTTTCAACCTCAAGCTAATAGTATGTCAAGTTGTATTGTTCCAATAAAGGTATGTCACGGGTGTGTACGACCCTTTTCCCTTCCATACTATAGTTGGATGTTCATTAAATATCCATAAATATTGTGTCGAGTTACCACTCACATTACAACATCCACTCCACCCAAATCATTTAATTGTCTTGATGAACACAAGGCGACATAGGAACTACCATAGATGCATCGATTGTCTTATTACTGTCAACACGTTTTTATACAAATGTGAAACTTGCAAGTTCTACCTCGATGTCAATTGTGCATATCTACCCAACACCATCAAACATAAATCACATAAATATTCTCTTTTCGAAGTTACTGATTCTGAACCTCCTTGTAACGCATGCAAAAAATAATATAAAGGTATAAGTTATGCATGTAAGGCTTACAACTTCATATTAGACATGTATTGTGCAATGAGATCGCCAGATTCCCTTGGTCATAGGTATTACAAATGACATTAAATTCCATTGACATATCCCCCAGCCATGGATCATCATGAAGATTTCTATTGTGATATCTGTGAGGAAAAAATGCACCCCAAGTTCTCCCTCTATATTGTCACAAATGCAAAAATTCCTTTAACTTTGATTTCATTAGTCGAGTCGATTATTGTGCAAACATTTTTGAAGAGGGCACCTTGAATGTTTCATATGACAAACATTCATTAACATTTTTCGGAGAAAAAAACGCCCAAGTATGTGTGTTCTAGTTGGTTATTTGATCCTCAAATGTCACGAAAGAGTCTGTAATTTCAATATTTGTTCTCAATGTCAAAGTAGAAAGCAATGAATCCTCAATCATGTAATACGACTATGAACTAAGGAAGTGCCATGCCTTTTTTTGTAAATTCTCTTGATATGTTGTTTTTCTTTTCTTCTGAGTCTTAAATTCAAGAGATCTCTACTCATAGCAAGTATATTTTCAATTTGTCTTCCTTCAATAGATAAATTTTGGGACGTTACAATTATATTGTGTACTCTACTTTTATACTCTTTAAAACCAATTTAATCTATTTAAATAGTATTATGATAGTCTTCTGCATAAATGAATATGAATATATTATGGATGAGATGTGAGATTCAATAGATAATTTTGTGTACGTACAAACATCACTAAAACCAAATTATCTAGGTGATTATTCTCTTTCAATACATAACGATTAATGTCCTTGTGAAAACAGTTAAATAATACATAAAAATAATAAGCATTGACAAGACATATTGAACAAGCTCTTGTTTTTATTTTTCAATTAAGCTTAAAAATTAATCAACTAATTAAGATAAAAGGAAGAAATAAAATTCTTTCGTGTAACATAGAAAGAACATTCCAAATGGAAAAAGTTATGTAGGGTAATTTTAGCTTGATATAGCAGGAAAGAATGTTGTAAGAAACATGTTGAAACCTATACTTAGAAGCAAAGAAATCTAAAAACGTTAAGTTGATTTCTCTAATTGTTGAAATGTATTTCGCCTCCACTAATTTAAGGAATAAATATATATTATTTTCTAAAAAAAGTGAGAAGATATGGAACATATTAACCACTTTAGTCATAAAAACCATCCATTCAAGGTAATCAACTTTGAGAAGATTATAGATGCTAGTTTTGATAGTTGTGATTAAAAAAAAAAAAAAAAAAAAAAAAAAAAAAACCCACAATTGCTTGGTTGCTATGGATGTGAAAAACTCATACCAAATGGCTTTGCATATAGTTATATCTAATGTCACTAGTTTTCATAAAGCATGTGCATAACATCCGCCCACTATCCGCGACCCCTTCCTTATATCATCATCATATAGCACTTATTAACACTTACTGATGTGAAAAATCCATATTCCAAATCCTGGATGTGTGCAGATATGGGGTATTTTCGTATACCTTTCTTAAGGATAAAATGTACATCGTTAAAGCTTACATTTATTGTTGTGTTGCTAGGTTTCGCTTCCAGAGTTATTCTTTAACTTCTTGTATTATTGTGAATATTGTTTTATGAATCTGTTAGAACTATAAGAGAATAGGAATAATTGAATGAATCAAACAACACCAAGAAGAATTTGACAAAACTCCCTTATTAGTTAAAGCCACATAAATAACAATATCCACAGTGGCTTTAACAATAAGTATAGTACAACAAAAAAGACAATTACTTCCACTTGTCAATGTTTAAAAGACCTAAACAATGTCTAAACTTCACTAAAGGTAATGACTTTGTTAGTGCATCAGTTTGATTGTCTTCAGTCCTCACTTACTTCACGTGAATTCTTCTTTATGAACGAATAAAATGATAAAAAAAATTCTATATGTTTTGTTCTTTCATAATACACTGTATATTTAGCCAAACAAATTGCAATAAAACTATCACGGTAAACAATAGTTATATCTATGAAAACCAAGATCTCAAAGTAATCCTTTCAGCCAAATTCCTTGTTTTGCAGCCTTTGTAAGAGCCATATACTTAGCCTCTATAGTGGATAAAGTTACCAAAGTTGCTTTCCAACTCACTAAAGCATTTCTAACTACAAAAAACATATCATGTTAAAGTTCTTCTTAAATCAAGAACAGTTGCATAATCTAAATCTAAATGTCCAGTCATTAAACATACTTCTTTTCCTCCACAAATGAGTCCAACATCAAATGTGCTTTTTAGATATCTGAAAATTCGTTTCACAGCAACCCAATGTTCCTTACAAGGATAAGCCATATAGCGAGAAACCATGCTGATAGAATGAATTATATCATGTCTTTTACAAACCATGCCATAGATAAGATAACCCACAACACTAGAATAAGGAACCTTCTTCATATACTCAATCTTAGACTCAGATTGAGAACTAATAGCTTTAGATGGCTTGAAATTTGCTAATAATAGGGTGTTTAATAATTTTGCTGAAGTCATTCCAAAACAGGACAAAATCTTCAAAATGTAACTTTTCTGGGAGAAAAAAAATTTACATCTTGACCTGTCTCTAATAATCTCCATACCAAGAAAAACCTATTTAGCATTATACTTGCTAGATAAAAAAAATTTAGCAACATGCTTTCTCTAATAACCTATTTACATCTTGACCTGTCTCTAATAATCTCCATACCAAGAAAAACCTATTTAGCATTATACTTGCTAGATAAAAAAAATTTAGCAACATGCTTTCTGTACAAACCTTTTTTAGCAACATAATTTGTAGACAACCGTATTTTTAGCAACATACTTTCGATAAAATCCTTTTGAGGAACATCGTAGAAATTGTAATCCATGAATTGAACCCTAATTAAGAATATTTTTAACTAAAAATAATAAAATTTTCAAAACGGCCAACTATTTTCATTAGGTTTTTTTCACATAGATCCTGAAACTCCCAGCAGCCACTAGATTTTGTTTTATATCCAGTCTCCTAAAATAAGTAAAATGATTATTAGCATTGTATAAGTATTGATATATGTTTATGAAATAAGACAAAATAAATTGAATTCTAAGCAACCTTTTAGAAGTGGATGTTTTACTTGGATCGAACTTTCAGATGCAATATTTTTGCAAGTCTTTTCATAGTGTCCATGCTCATCACATCGCAGGATCATGATGTATGTATTTGCTGAGAGATTCGAGGAAATGAATCTCGTTAGTATATCGAGACTTTGCAAGTCTTAGTTTATGTTTATGTTGCATATATCAGTTATCGCTTCCCCAACCTTATTAAATGAATAGAAACATTTCTTCAAAAATAATTTTACTGGACCAAATTTCACATTAATGAATAAGATCTATATTAAATCATCATAAATGTAAATGGATTGATTTGGTAAATCAATGATTCTTATAGTGTGGGCCTATGGTTATTTAGGTTGGGCTAAACCAACATGGTAGTCCATGGAAGTTTAACACATGGATCCTAAGTAAGATGTAAGGTCATGCACATTAGGGTTTACATGGATGTAACCCTAATCCTAGCCACACTATATAAGGATCCCTTTAGCTCATGAAATCGGCCACTAGTGTGCATTGTAGAGCCATAACCGATTTTTGAGTGCTAGTATTCTCTGTAAAAAGTTCTGCATTGTTGGTGGTGTTTTGTGAAGCATTTGAAGCATCACATTTCGGGTGTTAGGCCCTTAAAGGCCCAAGTTAACAAGCTACAAGAAAAGGTGTGTCATTCAACTACTTTTTGTTATGTAAGTACCCATAGTTTTGTATGTTGGTTAGGAAAATGCTTTGGAAAATCAAATTGCATGTATAATTAGAGAAAAAATAGATCTAAAGCATTTAGGGTTGTATGTGCACCTTAAGGTTGTTAGAGTTCTCAAAACCCATTAGTGGTATCAGAGCCTAAGATTGTATTCTGTTATACTTGATGTTTATTCGTTTTAAAAGTTGAAAAAAATTGAATTTCTGCTTTCTGACCAGTGAACTCACTGAGTCCACTCAGAAAATGACCAACTCGACGAGTCTAGTTCATGTACTCACGGAGTTGGTGCTCCAGTGTGCAGAATTTTGAGTTTTAGCCAGAAATTGGATTAGGATCATTACCCCAAACTATTTTTTGAACCATGAAATCTGTTTTTCATAAGGTAATGATCATGCTTGTCCAATTAAAAGATAATTGTCAAAGTTTCAAGATTTATATTAGTTTATATGATTAGCTAATTTATTGAAAATTATTGATGTGAACTATCTTTTCTTATGAGTTTAACCAGATTATAGATATTATTTGACACTTCTGTTAGTTTAATTGTTGATCTAAATGCTTTTTAATGGACTCCATAACTTGTCCTCAAGTTATGGAAAACCAAAAGTCTTTTCTTTAAAAGGTCATTAAACTCATAATTTATGGAAATGAAAGATTTTAAATAGTTTCAAAACTTGTCGTCAAGTTTTAGAATTAGTAAAGTCACACTTATGAATACTTTAATTCCAAACCCTAGAATTTTAAAAGTTTAAAATTCAATCTGTATACTTTATAATATTATAAGTTTAATTATATATATATATATATATATATATATATATATATATATATATATATATATATATATATATATATATAAGAAAAAAGTTAGTCTTACCGTTAGTAGGCATCATTCACGAAGCCGGT